GCCATCACCTCCGGCAAGAGATGTTTGCAAAAATAGCCATCGCTCCTCTGTTTCTGATGGAGCAGGGGTCAATCTGGGGAGACTCAAGGGCACGGCAGCAGAAGGCGGGTGGAAATGAGGGGTTCGGGTGCCGGTTAGAGATGCTGGGGGGGCAGAACTGGGGTGAGAGCGGGACCCCTGCCTGGGAGGGGGCAGCCCTGGGGTCTCCGCTTGCTCCGGCCCCGCAAAATCCTCGGTAGGTGCAAAACCTTCAAGCGGGGCCGGGAGCTGCCCACGTAGGCAGGGTTGATGCTCGGACGTGGGATGGCAGCCCAGACCGTCAGAGCTGCCCTCGTGGCCGTGTCCCCACCGCCCTTCTGCCACATCCCCTGTCAGGGGCGGGGTGGGTTGGTGAGCACAAAAAAAGAGGGGGGACAAAGTCTGGTGTGCTGCAACGCCCTGGCGTGATCTAGATGGTACCAAACTGGTCCCACTCTGCAGCAAAAGCTGCAAATATAATTTTTGCTACTGCTGGATGGCATCTCCTGCTCGCCACTGGCTCACAGGAACAGGGGATGAGATCCAGGAGGGTCGAGGTCCCCACAGCCCGAGGAAAAGCTCTTTGGGAGCCCAGCACCACATTATTGCTTCTTTCCCTCGTGACTCAGTCCCCATCTTCGGCTCCTTGATCCTCCTACGCCCTCATTCCCCGCAGGCTAACACGCAAAGAGAAACCTGGGTTTTTTTCTCCTTCAGCGCCTGCAGAAATGTGCCCTTGTCCTGGTGTTTAATCAATACCCGAGAACAGACGCTGCTTTTGCTGTACAGGACATTTGCCGCCTAAATTATTCAGTTAAAACACCACAGGCGTGTGATGTGAGAGGAGCTGCCAAGCTGAAGCCATGGCAGAAGCTTAGGGGAGAGATGGAGTTTTCTGGGGGGGGGTTGTAACTCCCCGTCCTGCGCTATAAATTGTTATGGTGAGTGTGTTGGTACGAAAAGGCACGCTTAAAGGTTAATGAAGGGAGGCAGAGAGAAAAAGGTAGGAATGTCCTAATGGGAAGGATGCTCCAG